GAGGCAATGGATGTATTGGGATGAGGAACTTGGTGTATTAATGGCTGAGGGAATAGGTGAATTAATCGTTTAGGGAACAGGTTAAAAAGCTCAGAAATAAACCCACGCACCTATGGTCAATTATCTACAACAAAAGAGGCAAGACTATAAAATGGAGGAAAGACAATCTCTTCAATAAATGGTGCTGGAAACACTGGACTGCTACATGTGCAAAAATGGAATTAGAACATTCTTTAACACCACACACAAGAATAACTCAAAATGGATTAAAGACCTAAATGTAAGACCAGATACCATAAAACTCTTCGAGGAAAACATAGGTGGAACACTCTGACATAAATTGCAGCAATATCTTTTTCGATCCATCTCCCAGAGTAATGGAAGTAAAAACAAAAACAAATGGGACTACTTAAACTGAAAAGCTTTTGCACAGCAAAGGAAACCATAAATAGAACAAAAAGACAACCCAGAGAATGGGAGAAAATATTTGCTAACGATGCGACTGACAAAGGATTAATCTCTAAAATTTACAAACAGCTCATGTAGCTCAATATCAAAAAAACAAGCAACCCAATCAAAAAATGGGCGGAAGACCTAAAGAGACATTTCTCCAAAGAAGACATACAGATGGCCAACAGGCACATGAAAAGATGCTCGAGGTCGCTAATTATTAGAGAAATGCAAATCAAAACTACAATGAGGTATCACCTCAGACCAGTCAGAATGGCCATCACCAAAATATCTGCAAACAGTAAATGGTGGAGAGGGTGTGGAGAAAAGGGAACACTGCTACACTGTTGGTGGGAATGTAAATTGGTGCAGCCACTATGGAGAACAGTATGGAGGTTCCTTAAAAAGACTAAAAATAGGGCTTCCCTGGTGGCGCAGTGGTTGAGAGTACGCCTGACGATGTAGGGGATATGGGTTCGCGCCCCGGTCAGGGAAGATCCCACATGCCGCGGAGCGGCTAGGCCTGTGAGCCATGGCCGCTGAGCCTGCGCGTCCGGAGCCTGTGCTCCGCAACGGGAGAAGCCACAACAGTGAGAGGCCCGCGTACCGCAAAAAAAAAAAAAAAAAAAAAAAAAACCCTAAAAATAGAGCTATCATATGATCCAGCAATTCCACTCTTTGGCATACATCCAGTGAAAAACATGGTTCGAAAGGATACATACACCCCAGTGTTCATTGTAGCACTGTTTACAATAGCCAAGACATGGAAGCAACCTAAATGTCCATCAACAGAAGAATGGTTAAAGAAGATGTACATATATACAATGGAATATTTCTCAGCTATTAAAAAGAATGACATAAAGCCACTTGCAGCAACATGGATGGACCTGGAGAGTATTATACTAAGTGAAGTAAGTCAGGCAGAGAAAAACAAATATCATATGATATTGCTTATATGCAGAATACAAAAAAAGATACAAATAAACTTATTTACAAAACAGAAATGGACTGACAGACTTAAGAGAACGAAATTATGGTTACCAAGGGGGATGGTGGGCAGGAAGGGATAGATTGGGAGTTTGGGATTGACATGTACACACTGCTATATTTAAAATAAAGTGCCTTTCCCGGCTTCCCTGGTGGCACAGTGGCTAAGAATCCGCCTGCCAATTCAGGGGACACGGGTTCGAGCCCTGGTCCGGGAAGATCCCACATGCTGCAGAGCAACTAAGCCTGTGTGCCACAACTACTGAGCCTGAGCTCTAGAGCCCACGAGCCACAACTACTGAGTCTGCGTGCCACAACTACTGTAGCCCACACGCCTAGAGTCTGTGCTCTGCAACAAGAGAAGCCGCTGCAGTGAGAAGCCCGTGCACTGCAACAAAGAGTAGCCCCCGCTCACCACAACTAGAAAAAGCCCACACGCAGCAGTGAAGACCCAATGCAGCCAAAAATAAATTAAATAAATTTTTAAAAAGTGCCTTTCCATGAAAAAAAATAGAAGTGAATATTAGATTATTTCTATTTGACAAGGGAATATTACTGTTGAGATTTTCAAAAGTGATGTGTTTGGAAATGTTCTTGTTTCTCCCAGTATATGTAATTGGTAGATATACCTATTTACTGCTCTGAAAGGCAAGCCATTCTGTCTGACCAGATATTTTCTAAGTTATTAGTGAAAATAAGACATATTTAGGTAGGGGCACTAATGAGGCTGTTAGGCAGGGCTGGACCCAGCAGTTTTCTTGTGTTACTCTGCTGATTTGTGTTTGTTTGGTTAGGTGTCTTCTCACTGCTGTTCCTGGCTCTGTATCCCAGGGGACAGTTGCTTTTTTGTCTCTGTAAGAGCAGGAACAATGGATATCAGTAGATATTCAATGCAGCTTTGATAAATCTGATCCTTAGAAACTTTAAAAACAAAAAAACTCAATTTTACCCCAATAATGACATAACTTGACATTTTCACCTAATGTAAGAGCTCCCAGATTACATATATTCTAGAAAGGCAAGAGTCTTCTATTTCAGAGCACAGAATCTAGAGCCAGATTGCTTGTAACTGCACCATTTACTAAGTTGTCACTGTGAACAACTTACCTCAGTGTTTCAGTTTCTTCATCTTCAAAATGAAGGTTAAAATAACACCTGTATCTAAAGTTGTTATGAGAGTTATGTGAGTTTAATAAAAGTAAAGTGCTTTGGAAAAAAATCATTGAGAGAATGGGTGTTTTAGTGGCTGAGGGAATGTGACTTAATGGCTGAGGGAAAGCCTGAAATAATGGCTGACAGAATGTTTGAAATACTGGCTGAGGGAATGAGTGAATTAATGGCTGGGGGAAAGGGTGAATTAATAGCTGAGGGAATCGATGAATTAAAAATGCTGAGTGAATGGGTGTATTAATGGCATGAAGGAAAGGGTGAACTAAAGGCTGAGGGAATGGTGAATTAATGGCTGAGGAAATAGGTGAATTGTTGGCTGGGGGAATGGCTGAATAAAGGCCGAGGGAATGGGTGAAATGATGGCATGAGGCAATGTGTGTATTAATGACTGAGGGAATGGGTGAATTAATGGCTGGGGAATGGGTGAATTAATGGCTGGGGAATGGGTGAATTAATGGCTGAGGGAAGAGGTGAATTAATGGCTAGGAGAGGTGTGAATTAATGGCATGAGGAAATGGATGTATTAACGGCATGAGGGAATGGATATATTAAAGGAAAAGGGAGTGGGTGTGTTAATGGCTGCAGGAGTAGGTGAATTAATGCCTGATTAAATGGGTGAATTAATGGCTGAAGTAACTGGTGAAATAATGGAGTGGATTAATTACGGCTGAGGGAATGGGTATGTTAATGGCAGAGGGAATGGTCTGTTAATGGCATGAATGAATGAATGGGTCAACTAATTGGTGAGGGAATGGGTGTTAATGTCGTGAGGGAGTTGTATTAATGGCTGAGGGAATTAGTGGCTGAGGGAAGAGGTGAATTAATTGCAGAGTGAATGACTGAATGAATGGCTGAGGGAATGGATGAACTATGACTGAGGGAATGGGACTATTAATGGCATGAATGAATGTGTGAACTAATCTGCTGAGGGAATGGGTGTATTAATACCATGAGGGAATTAGTGTATTATGCCTGGTTGATGGGTGAATTAATGGCTGACGAAATGAGTAAATTAATGGCTGGGGGAATGGGGGAATTAATGGGTGATGGAATGGGTGAATTGACGGCTGAGAGAATGGAGAATCAATAACTGAGGGAATGGATGAATTAATGGCTGAGGGAATTGGTGTATTAAATCCATGAAGGAATGGGTGAATTAATGGCTGTGGTAATGGGTATGATAGTGCCTTTGGGATTGTATGCGTTACTACCATGAGTGAATGGGTGAACTAATGATTGAGGGAATGGGTGAATTAATGGCTTAGGGAACAGGTGTATTAGTTGCTGAGGGAATGGTTGTATTAATGGCCTGATGGAATGGGTGTATTAATGCCTGTAGGAATGGATGAATTAATGGCTGAGGGAAGGGGTGAATTAATGGCTGAGGGAAGGGGTGAATTAATGGCTATGCAGTATGTGTATTAGAGCTGAGGGAAATGGGTGAATTAACAGTATGAGGAATTGGGTGTATTAATGGCTGAGGAAATAGGTGAATTAATGGGAGAGAGTGTGTGAAGTAATGGATGTGGAAATGTGTGTATTAATAGGTGAGTGAATGAGTGAATCAATGGCATGAGGGAATGAGTGTGTTAATAGCTGAGGGATTAGGTGATTTAATGGCTGAGGGAGTGCATGTATTAATGGCATGCGGGAATGGGTCAATTACTGGATGAGGGAATGGGTAAATTAATGCCTGAGGGAATGGGTGTATTAATGGCTAATAAAATGGGTGAATTATTGGCTGAGGGAATGGGTGAATTAATGGCTAAGGGAATGGGTGTATTCATGGCATGAGGGAATGGGTATATTAATGGCTGAGGGAATGTGGGTATCCAACACATATTGTTGGATGAGGGAATCAGTGATTTAATGTAAGAGGAAATGGAGGCTTAATGGTGAAGAAATAGGTGAAGTAATGGCTGAGAAAATGTGTGTATTAAGGCTAAGGGAATGGGTGTATTAATGGCATGAAGGAAAGAGTGAACTATTGGCTGAGGGAATGGATTTGTTAGTGGCTTAGGAAATGAATGAATTAATGGGTGACGGAATGGGTGTATTATTGGCATAATGGAATGGGTGAACTAATAGCTCAGGCAATGGGTATATTACTGGCAGAGGGATATAGGTGAATTAATGGCTGAGGGAATGGCTGAATTAAATCTGAGAGAATGGTTGAACTAACGGCTGAGGGAATGGGTGTATTAGTGGCCTAGGGAATCGGTGTATTAGTGGCTGCGTAAATCAGTGAATTAATGTCTGAGGGAGTGGGTGAATTAATGGATGAGTATGATGAGTGTAAGTGCATTAAAGCTTGGCGGGGCTCTGGGAGTGCCCATTCCTACGGCCTACCCCTGATGGGTGTCCCCCAGCCCTGATGCTTACCCCCCCTGCAGATGAACAGGAGACCACAGGTGCCATCAGCTACACGGTGGAGTTGAAACGCTACGGGGGCCCCCTGGGCATCACCATCTCAGGCACAGAGGAGCCTTTCGATCCCATTGTCATCTCAGGACTCACCAAGCGTGGCTTGGCTGAGAGGTGAGCCGGGGCTCTGTGGGGACACACAGGTGAGCCCAGGGACCCCATGGGGCAGGAGCTGGGCTTTGGGATCAGCCAAACTCGATCTTACCTTTGTTCCAACATCGATGGCCTGGGTGACCTGGGGCCTGTCCCATCCCTCTCTGCGCCTCAGTTCCTCAGATGCGGGCCAGCCCCTGGCAGACCTCCTGACTTCAGGTAACTGCTGGATAAATGTATGCTCATCCCTCTGCTCCCCCAAACCTGGAGATCACCCCATTTCTGGAAAGTCAGCATGTGAGTCTTTCTGGAGCACCTGCTATGTGCCTTCATAGTACAGGGGCCATGTCCCTGGTACCTGGGTCCCAGCGCAGCCTGGCACCTCTCTTGAGGCATTGGGGCAGGGGTCCCTGCTATCCTCTCCCCTACAAAGTTTCCCTGAAATTGTGGCAGAAGGGAGAGATGTGAGAAGAGGGGTGTCCAGGCTGTCCAGTTTGGAGGGGGAAGCAGGTGGATCTGGGCCCAGAAGTGGAACTGGTCCCCACGAGGGTCACAGGGAGGCAACCCCAGTGTGGGTGAGACAGCCTTTCTGTGGACAGCTTTGCAGTGAGCTCCAGGCACTGAGAAGAGCTTTCTGTAAAAGGGAAGCCTCGCCCAGCCTGGCAGGCAGAATGGCCCCTTGGAGGAGAACACAGCACAAGGGGCGAAACCATGGTGGGGTGGTGCAGGAGGATGGGAGGGATTCTGGGGCTGAGGCGTCAACCTGTTGGCGTCTGTGCTCCTGGATCGCCCCCTGCTGGGTGTCCAGCAGACTGCAGAGGCCAGTGGGACCGGTTCTGACCTCAAATGTCTTCATCCACTCTGGCATTTTCTGAGTACCTACTGTGCGCCAGCCCTACAGGGCACAGTAGACAACCTGTCTGCCTTTGCCTGGCCGATCCAGGTCAGCGCTGTCTAACTGAAGTATAATGTGAGCCACAAATTTATTTATAAACTTTTTAGCAGCCACATTAGAAAAGTAAAAAGAAATTTTTTAGATCTTAAATATGTACTTATTTCAACATGTAATCAATATAAAAATAATTAACAAAGTATTTTACATTCTTCTTTCATATTATGTCTTCAGAATCTCGTGTGTATTTTACACGTCCAGCATGTCTCCGTTCAGGCCAGCCACAATTCAGAAGCCCAATAGCCACATGTGGCTGGTGGCCATCGTACTGGATGGCACAGCTCTGGCCTTCCCCCCAAATCCACCATATTCTGACTCAGTCACTCCCCTAGGCCCTCAGGGAGCTTGCTGGGCAATGCTGGGCATGGAGGGGCTTGACCCTCCGTGAGCTCCCACCTGGGGGCAAAATCTACATTTAGAGTTTAAGACCCCCCACTCCAGTCCACTGCTTCCTTCTCCCCCACCCAGGTCAGGTGCATTCTCAGCACCTGCTGCAACCACCCCTCCCCACCCTCAGCCCTGGCTGCTTCTCAGAATTATCTTCCCTGGCCCTGCTCCCAGAGTTACGATTTCATTGGTCAGGGGGAGGGGCCAGGCATCTGCACTTTTTAAAAAGCTCCTTAGGTAATTCTAATAGTATCCAGGTAGAAAACCATTGGGCTAGTACACTGCTACTGCTTGGCCTTTTCATCCCCCCGCCCATAGCCCTCTCTGAAGTCAGCTGGACCCTGGGGCTTAGGCTTATTCTCTAGGTGGGGAAACAGACCCAAGGAGAGGGAAAGGCTACACATGGATTTCAGCTGGAGGGAAACGTGAATTCATTCCACCCATCCATCCTTCAATTATAATTTGATAAAATACGTATTATCACCCTTACTTTACAGATGAAAGAACTGAGACTCAGGGAAGTTAAAGAACTGGCCTAAGACCACATAGTAGTTGTCAGCTAGTATGTGGCATTCAAACCATCCTCAAAACTCATGCTGGACACTGGTTCCAGAACCTAACTTTTACACTTGAGCAGGAAAATCCCCTCCCAGATGCTAGACTTCATACTTCTGTTAATACAATCACACTTGCTTTCCCCCCCACCCAGGGTGGGTTTAACTGGGGTCAGCCAGGCTTGTGCTTTGGGGTTCCTGAGTTCCCCCAGGGCAGACCCCCACTTCAAGGCCCTGTCTAACTCCCATCCTCTACCCTATGCCCCCTCTCCAGGACTGGCGCTATCCACGTTGGGGACCGTATCCTGGCCATCAACAGTGTTAGCCTCAAGGGCCGGCCACTGAGTGAGGCCATCCACCTCTTGCAGGTGGCCGGTGAGACCGTCACCCTGAAGATCAAGAAGCAGCTAGACCGTGAGCCTCACCCCACACCTGGGCGCCGTCCAGCCCATTTAGGAAGAGAGATCCCTCAGCCTCTGTGCCAAGCTTTGTGAGGCCCAACCTCACTGAATTGTTGCTCACCCCGTGGAGGTGGGAGGGTACCTGGGGCAGTGGAGACAGAGGAGACAAGGCTCAGAGTGATGGGAGCAATGGGCCTGGGGTCATCCAGCCAGTGTGGGGCCCTCTGGGCCTGAACCATGCTCTTCATCACCTCCTGCCTCTTGAGGTGCCTGCTTGTTTTGCCTGTGGCCATCACTCATACATTCCTCAGGTTCCCCTGAATCTGTCTCCCATGCTTTGGTAGGGAGTGGATGGAGCCTGAGCTTTAAAGCCTTCCTTCTAATCTGGGCTCCACTGTTGCTCACCGTGTGACCTTGGGCATGCTGTGCAGCCTTTCTGAGCCTCAGTTTTCACATCTCTGAAACGGGTTTGCCTATTGGCGTGCCTCCCATCTCACCTGTCAGCTTGCCCAGCAGGAGGCTCAGGGAGCCCAGGGCCTGTGAGTTCCCAAACCAGGGCGAAGTGGGGAAACTGAGGCTGGTTGAGCACCTTTGTCTCCAAGGTCAGAAGCCAGTGGCAGTGACACCCGCTTTTCCTCCCAGGCCCCCTCCTACCCCGCAAATCGGGCAGCCTCAGCGAAGCCAGCGATGCGGATGAGGACCCGCCAGAGGCGCTGAAAGGCGGCCTGCTGGCAGCCCGATCCTCGTCCACTGTGCCCAGTGTGGACAGCGCAGTGGAGTCCTGGGGCAGCTTGGCCACTGAGGGTGGCTTTGGGGGCCCAGGTAACACCTCGGGCCCCTGGACAAGCACCGTGTTCTCCGTGGGCCCTTGTAGGGGCTGTTCCCTCCGCCTAACCCTTCTTGCTCCCCTTCTGCTGGCCTCATCCTTTAGGGACACTTCCTGAAGGCAGACCTGATTGGGCCCCATTAGCCATTCTGAGGGCCGCTCACTCCTGAGAGTGTGGACTGCAGGCCTTCCTGGGCTTTGATCGGCAGCCACAGCACTGCAGCTGCCCATTCAGATCCCCCCACGAGGCCTGGGACCAAGTGGTCTTACTTCTGCCTCCTTCGTTCCCAGCCCGATGGCCAGCACACAGCAAGTGCTCAGTGTTGATTGCATCCCGTTGAAGGCGGGAAGGCAGAAAGCCCCTCGCACCCCATCCTATGAGACCCTCTTGGGTGGACACCCCCAGGGCTCCCCCTGGGGGAGCTCCCCTGCCCATGCGTGTTGAGACCCATGGGTGCCCTTGGGGGGCATCTGAATCTGGTGGCTGGCCTTCTGGCCTCTGGGACCCAGAACCACAGGGACTCCCCAAGGCCCAGCTCAGGGAGTAGTGGAGTGAGGCCTCTAGGTAGCCTCAGGTGGCCCTCGGCCCTGGTCCTCACTCACTGGATATCTGCCCGATCTCAGTCTCAGCTTCTCCATCTCCAGAAGTGGGTGAGCATCTCTCAGCATCACCCCCTGGGGCAAGACCTTCAGAGCTGGCAGGGAGAAGGGGATGGTTAACACAGTGGACCTCCCTCTCAGGCAGGGATCGGCCAGGCCGAGCCCCGTGGAGCTGGGACAGGATCCTGGAGCCCCAGCATTAAGTCTGCTGTTGATCAGGAGATCAAGGGGGTTCTGGGGTAGGAGTCCGGGTGGCAGGGGTCCTCAGGGGACTCTGGGTAGTCAGGCAGGCCCAGAGAGGGCAAAGACCTCTCCTGGGCCACCCAGCACAGCTAGAGATGGGGCAGGAAGGAGGGCAAGCTAAGGGCACAGAGAGGATATAGGCGCCCGCTCTGTCCACCTGCCAGGTTCCTACACTCCACAGGCGGCAGCCCGGGGCGTGACCCCCCATGAGTGGCGGTGCAGCCGGCTGAGAAGCAGTCCCCCACCCACCGAGCCCCGGAGGACGAGCTACACCCCAGCCCCTGCCAACGAGAGCTTCCCCGAGGAGGAAGAGGAAGACGACTGGGGGCCACCAGCTAGGTCTGTGGTGGGGACTCCACGGGGGACACCGGCTCGCCCTCTTGGCCAGGACGGGCGCGGGGAGCCAGTCCCTGTGCCAAGGCGATGGGGGCAATGGGCAAGTCTTGTCTGGCCTCAGGAGGGCACCTCCTGGGAGAGGAGAGGAAGTGTGGAGCAGAGCCATCTCAGAAGGCTGAGGCGGGGGAAGGGCACGCTGGCCGGAGGGCACAGCAGGGGCAAAGGTGTGAGGCTGAAGAGGCAGCCTGGCCGGCCCTCCCCACACCTGGTGTTCAGCTGTTCCCAGAGACACTGAGGGCTCAGACCCACACCCTCCCGACTCGGCCCAGATGGTCATGGCCTCCTGCAGTGGCCCTCGGGTCATGGTTATGAGCGCCAGCCCTGGGCTGGGGACGTGGTGGTTTCTGTGGTGAATTCGATGCTCCTGCGGGGAGCACACCTGGTGGAGAAATGCTGGTCCTCGTGCGGCCCCAGCCACCAGCTTCCCACGGCTCTGCTTTGGTCGGGCAGTTCCTTCTGCCTAGAATGCTGTCCCCTCCCCTCTCCTGGCCGATGCCTACTCATCCTTTAGACCTGCCTCTGGGAGGCTTCCCTGATCCTCCCTCCCTCTGCTGGTACCCACAGCTGCTCACGTGAGCCTCCTGGTGGCACTGGTGGTCTACCTGTTAATCACCTGGCTGTCGTGTCTTCTACTTGGCATCCCGAGCTCAGCCAGGCATCCAGTAGCTGCTCACACACGCTCCATGAGGGACCCTCAGATCCTTAAGAACAGGGCCTTCACCTTATTCCCCTCCATAGCCCTGTGCCCAGGAGAGGGCCTGGCTCAAAACGTTTGTAGAACTGACTTGAATGGAGCAGATGGCCTTCAGTCTGTCTTCTCATCTCTGAAACGGGAAGGGAAGGAGGCACCTAATTTGAGTCACTGTCCTGGCCGCTCCCTTTGAGAGGAAAGCCTGCATGCCTTCGTGAGAGAGAGTGCTTTGCACACCAAAGCACACTTGATAACGTCCAGGGCTTTGTAGACGGCAAAGGGCTTTGTAAACAGTGAACGTGAAAACGTGGCTTGTTACCATTCTGATGAGACCCGATTTTAGAGCTGGTAACGGGCCATACCTCCCGTGATGGAAGTTATAGGGTGGCACAGCCCTTTCCCCAGCCCTAATACTCCATCGTCTCCATCCATCTGTGTCCTTGCCAGCTCCAGCTCTGTCCCTGTCACTGTCCTGCAATGCCTTGTGTCTGGGTGGGGCCTGGGGTTGTCCTCTGGGGCTGCACCATGGATCTCCTGTCTGTCTGTCTGTCCGTCCGTCTGTCTCTCTTCCCAGGCGTCCTGTGTCACCGCTCTCCACCCCGTCTCATCTGCCCCTGTTCTAGCTGGCCATCGACAGTCCTGGTTGCCCCTAACTGCGTCTTCCCCCCATTCCGTGTCACCAACCACCACCCCGGGCCCCCGGCACTGCCACCGAGGACGCCGGCCTTCCTGCCCGCCCACCCAATGGCCCCTTGAGCCCAACGCAGGGCCCCAGGGCCCGGAAGACTCCTCAGGCCCCAGCCCACCCGCCAGGAGCTGACGCTCTCTGGTTCCTACGTTACAGCCCCGCCCCTGGCCCCACCTGCGAGGAGGGCTTCTGGCGCATGTTCGGGGAAGCCCTTGAAGACCTGGAGTCATGCGGTCAGTCGGAGCTGCTGAGGGAGCTGGAGGTACGCCCTGCCCCCCCCCCCAGGCCCCCGTGGGAGGTGGCACATTGATGGCATTGTGCTCTTGTGTAACACCTACAAGGGTACTCTCCTGGCACCCTCTGTGTAAAGGTGCCTTCACGTGCATACAGACTGTGGATGGACCCGTGTGCAAGTGTGACTGAGCACCGTGGTGTGGCACATTAATTGGGGTGTGCACATGTGAGCACGTTTGGCATAAAACGTGTGTGTGCGCACTGGGAGCATGTGTGTGTGCATGCAGGTGAGCACGCTCATGCATGCACAATGCTGAGTATTGTCAGAACACGTGTGTCAGTGTGCACATTTGGATGCATAAGGGCAGTTTTGGGGTCTGTGTGTGCATGTCGTTAGCATGCCCAGTGGAAGCTTGTGGATGTCAACATCAGTAACAGCATGGGACGTGAGAGGCCGAGAGGTGCGTGCGGCTTTCTGTGAGGTCAGCCTTGCCCACGATGGAAAAGGCTGCCTGGGGAGACCTAGGGAGGATCTCATTGGGTCAATTCTGAAGCTCCTTCATATTCTGAGAGCAGTAATCTACACTCTGTTTATCTGTGCTTTTGCCCTATTTTTGTTCCTAAAATTATTGATTGAGCCTTTTTTTTCTCTATCAGCCTTGCCAATTACTAGGCTCATCAAGGAACCAAGTTTTGTTTTTGTTAACTATGTCTCGTATTTCATTGTTTCCTATCTTACTCTTTTGTATGTCTAGCTTCGATAGTCCCTTCCTTCGACTTTGTCTTTAAATCTTGATACTTTTCCTGGTTTCTTAACTCCTTAGTCTTCAGTCTTTCTTGCTCCCTAACATCGTGCATTTAAAGATAGGAATTTACCTGTAAGCACTTACCTGCCTCCCACAGGGATTAAGTTGTACTTTTATGGTCTATGCAATTCCTAACACTGTCCTCTGGGGCTGCACCATGGATCTCCCCCCCGCCCCCCTCGCCTGTCTCTCCATCTGTCTCTCTTCCCAGGCGTCCTGTGTCACCACTCTCCACCCCATGTCATCTGCCCCTGTTCTAGCTGGCCACTGACAGTCCCGCTTGCCCCTAACTGCGTCTTCCCCCCATTCTGTGGCACCAGCCACTGCCCTGGGGCCCCAGCACTGCCACTGAGGACGTGCTGCAGGGTTAAGCTTCTGCCCTCCCAGCCCCATCCTGTGCACTCTCTCAAATGCAGGGCCTCCGTCCACATCTGTCCATTGCTGGGGTTTTGCACATGCTGTTTCCTCTTCCTGCCGGGGACTCTCCTTCCTCCCAATTTCTTGCTCATCGTTCAGATCTCGGCTCTAGAAGCTTTCCCGATCCCTCATACTGACCAGTTTCACTGTTCCAGCCTCTCACATTCTGTGTACCTTGGCCTCTGTGACATTTACTGCCATGTGTAATTTCATCTTCTTTATTTTTGTGACTAGCAAGTTAGCAGAGTGGTCAAGACCCTCGACCCTGGAGCCAGACTCTGAGTTCAAATGTTAATCTTTCTAAGCCTCAGTTTTCTCTTCTGTAAAATGGGCGGGGGGGGATGTTATTTGCCTGGCTCATAATATTGTAGAGCATAAAATGAGTTCTGTGTGTCAAGTGCTTGGAACTGAGTCCAACGCAGTATAAGTGATAATAATTCAATGCCAATGATTATTATTCTGATTGCTCATCATTGGGCTGAGAGCCCTAGGAGGGCAGGGACCTCATCTATTCTGTTCACCATTGTGACCTTGAAGGCTGGCACACAGTAGGTGTCCATAGATGTTGACCGCACACAGAGCAGGAAGCATCTGAGTGAAGAGCTGTGTCCCTACAGGCATCCATCATGACAGGCACCGTGCAGAACGTGGCCCTCGAGGGCAGGCCTGGCCACCGGCCCTGGAGGAGGAACCAGGAGATACGAGCTTCCCCAGAAGAAATGCAGGAGGTGCTGCTGCCGACACCCTTGGAGATGCACAAGGTGGGTGCTGGGGGAGCACAGGAGGCCTGGATGCATGTCCTGATGCCGTGGGTATTCGCATAGCTCCAGATGAGCCCCACCCCTCTCTGGGCTTCATTCTCCTCCACCAATAAAACACAGATTTTATAGAAGGTAGAGTTTTCCAAAACTCCTGCCATTTGGGCGATACACACACACACACACACACACACACACACACTCACACTCACACTCACACTCACTTGTGATACTTTAAGTAGACTCGCTTTTTCCCCACTTAAGTTATCGTGTGCGTGTATAATATAAAGGCTTCTATATGTGTGTGTATATATATATATGTGTGTGTGCGTGCATATCAGTACCTTAAATGAGAGGCCAGTGTTTTTGCCATCTATAGGCTACTGTCTAGGAAAACAAAACACAGAAGAGAAAAAAGCCCTCTCAGCCCATAATAACCTTCAGAAGGCTCTGAGCCTGAAGCCAGCTCTTTGGTGGACGGGGAGATGGGACGTGTCAAAGGGTGGTGAAAACACACGTCCACCCCACTGAGACTTTCTCCTGGAATGGAAGCAGGAAGATTGAAAAAGAACTGAAAGGAACTCCTTTTCCTACAGCTTCCACTGTGACTGAGTGCTGTAGATGGAGGGTCAGTGGAGGTGGAGGGGAGGGGGTGCTCCAGAAGCCAAGGCTTGGGCACGATGCCGAGGCAGTAACACACGTGGAAGAGCAGCCAGGTGGGCTAGGGCTGGGTCCCGGAGGCATCAGATGCCAGACCAAGGGGCTTAGGCAGCTGTGGGAGGCTAGGGGGAAAGATCGGGGCTCCAGAGGTCTCCTCCTCCTGTTCCCAGGTGACACTGCACAAGGACCCTGTACGGAGTGACTTCGGTTTTAGTGTCTCAGATGGCCTCCTGGAGAAGGGCGTCTATGTCCACACTGTGCGCCCTGATGGGCCAGCTCAACGTGGGGGTCTCCGGCCCTTTGACAGGGTCCTCCAGGTAATGCTGGGTGGTGGCACTATCGATGGAGTGGCCGGCCGTTCCTAGCCCCATAGTGGGGAGAAAGCCTGACTTCTACGTTGGCTGAGTGGCCTTGAGCAGGTTGCCTCCTCTCTCTGAGCCCCAGGTTTCTTTTTTTTAAAAAAAAAAATCCTGTATTTTTTATAGATTTAATTAATTAATTAATTAGTTTGTTTGTTTTTGGCTGTGTTGAGTCTTTGTTGCTGTGCACGGGCCTTCTCCCGTTGTGGTGAGCTGGGGCTACTCTTCGTTGTGGTCCGTGGGCTTCAGTAGTTGTGGCTCACGGGCTCTAGAGTGCAGGCTCAGTAGTTGTGGCACACGGGCTTAGCTGCTCCATGGCATGTGGGATCTTCCTGGACCAGGGCTCAAACCCGTGTCCCCTGCATTGGCAGGCAGATTCTTAACCACTGCACCACCAGGGAAGCTCTGAGCCCCAGGTTTCTTATCTGAAAAAAGGGAATGACAACACAGTTGTATTGGTGAGGTTAGGCTAAATTATGCTGCAGGAACAAACAATCCCAAATCTCAGTGGTTTAATACACATGAACATTTATTTATCACTTATATGATATGTCCACTGTGGGCCAGTGTGGGCCTTGCTCCACCTGGATTGGTGGAGGCTCCACCCTCTAGTAAATGCCTCGGACTTCATGGCAACTAAGTCATGTGATCTCACTAACAGCAAGGGAGCCTGGGAAATGTGAGTGGGCAGATAGAAGCTGTGGGGCATCCCTGGCACACCCTTTCCCATGCCCCACATTCTAGGCAGGAGGCTCAGCGTGTGGTCTGCTTGTGATGTTAAAAAATGGAGACAGTCTCTAGGTCCATCCACGTCTCTGCAAATGGCACAATTTCTTTCCTTTTTATGGCTGAGTAATATTCCATTGTATATATGTACTACATCTTCTTTATCCATTCCTCTGTTGGTGGGCATTTAGGTTGCTTCCATGACCTGCCTATTGTAAATAGTGCTGCAGTGAACATTGGGGTGCATGTGTCTTTCGGAATCATGGTCTTCTCTGGGTATATGCGCAAGAGTGGGATTGCTGGGTCATATGGTAACTCTATTTTTAGTTCTTTAAGGAACCTCCATACTGTTCTCCATATTGGCTGTATCAATTTACATTCCAACCAACAGTGTAAGAGGGTTCCCTTTTCTCCACACCCTCTCCAGCATTTGTTGTTTGTAGATTTTCTGATGATGCCCATTCCGACTGGTGTGAGGTGGTACCTCATTGTAGTTTTTTTTTTTTATATATATACAGCAGGTTCTTATTAGTCATGAATTTTACACACATCACTGAATATGTGTCAATCCCAATCACACAATTCATCCCACCACCACCACCACCCTCCTGCTGCTTTCCCCCCCTTGGTGTCCATACGTTTGTTCTCTACGTCTCTGTCTCAATTTCTGTCCTGCAAACCAGTTCATCTGTACCATTTTTCTAGGTTCCACATATATGTGTTAATATAAGATATTTATTTTTCTCTTTCTGACTTACTTCACTCTGTATGACAGTCTCTAGATTCATCCACATCTCAACAAATGACCCAGTTTCGTTCCTTTTTTGGCTGAGTAGTATTCCATTGTATATATGTACCACATCTTCTTTATCCATTCGTCTGTCAATGGGCATTTAGGTTGCTTCCATGACCTGGCTATTGTAAATAGTGCTGCAATAAACATTGGGGTGCATGTGTCTTTTTGAATTACGGTTTTCTCTGGGTATATGCTCAGTAGTGGAATTGCTGGGTCATATGGTAGTTCTATTTGTAGTTTTTTAAGGAACCTCCATACTGTTCTCCATAGTAGCTGTATCAATTTACATTCCCACCAACAGTGCAAGAGGGTTCCCTTTTCTCCACACCCTCTCCAGCATTTGTTGTTTGTAGATTTTCTGATGATGCCCATTCTAACTGGTGAGGTGATACCTCATTGTAGTTTTGATTTGCATTTCTCTAATAATTAGTGATGTTGAGCAGCTTTTCATGTGCTTCTTGGCCATCTGTATGTTGTCTTTGGAGAAATGTCAATTTAGGTCTTCTGCCCATTTTTGGATTGGGTTGTTTGTTTTTCTAATACTGAGCTGCATGAGCTGTTTATATATTTTGGAGATTAATCCTTTGTTGATTCGTTTGAAAATATTTTCTCCCAATCTGAGGGTTGTCTTTTCGTCTTGTTTATGGTTTCCTTTGCTGTGCAAAAGCTTTTAAGTTTCATTAGGTCCCATTTGTTTATTTTTGTTTTTATTTTCATTACTCTAGGAGGTGAATCAAAAAAGATCTTCCTGTGATTTATGTCAAAGAGTGTGCTGCCTATGCTTTCGTCTAAGAGTTTTATAGTGTCCAGCCTTACATTTGGGTCCTTAATCCATTTGGAGTTTATTTTTGTGTATGGTGTTAGGGAGTGTTCTAATTTCATTCTTTTACATGGAGCTGTCCAGTTTTCCCAGCACCACTTACTGGAGAGGCTGTCTTTTCTCCATTGTATATTCTTGCCCCCTTTGTCATAGATTAGTTGACCATAGGTGCATGGGTTTATCTCTGGGCTTTCTATCCTGTTCCATTGGTCTATATTTCTGTTTTGGTGCCAGTACCAGACTGTCTTGATTATTGTAGCTTTGTAGTATAGTCAGGGAGCCTGATTCCTTCAGCTCCATTTTCTTTCTCAAGATTGCTTTGGCTATTTGTGGTCTTTTGTGTTTCCATACAAGTTGTAAAATTTTTTGTTCTAATTCTGTGAAAAATGCTATTGGTAATTTGACAGGAATTGCATTGAATCTGTAGATTGCTTTGGGTAGTATAGTCATTTTCACAATATTCTTTCAATCCAAAACATGGTATATCTCTCCATCTGTTTGTGTTGTCTTTGTTTTCTTTCATCAGTGTCTTATAGTTTTGTGAGTACAGGTCTTTTGCCTCCTTAGTAGGTTTATTCCTAGAGACTGTCATATAGAGTGAAGTAAGTCAGAAAGGAAAAAACAAATATCATATATTAACACATATATGTGGAATTTAGAAAAAAAGGTAGAGATGAACCTGTTTGCAAAACAGAAATAGAGACACAGATGTACAAAACAAACATATGGACACCAAGTGGGGGTGGTGGTGGGATGGATTGGGAGATTGGGATTGATGTGTGTACACTACTATATATGAAGTAGATGGCTGGTGAGGGCCTACTGTATAGCACGGGGGGAAAAAAAGGTCCAGTCTGTTTGCAGGACATATATTAAGTTAACCTTAAAAATGCATTCCAATATACATGATGTGCAGACAAATACCGTTTTTTTTTTTTTTGTTTTTTTTTTTTTGGTCTGTATTCACTTCTAGTCCTTGAAGGATGTGGAAGATGGATTATTTTTTTTTCATTTTAACATCTTTATTGGAGTATAATTACTTTACAATGGTATGTTAGTTTCAGCTTCACAACAAAATGAATCAGTTATATATATACATATGTTCCCATATCTCTTCCCGCTTGCGTCTCCCTCCCTCCCACCCTCCCTATCCCACCCCTCCAGGCGGTCACAAAGCACCGAGCTGATCTCCCTGTGCTATGCGGCTGCTTCCCACTAGCTATCTACCTTACATTTGGTAGTGTATATATGTCCATGCCTCTCTCTTGCTTTGTCATCGTTTACCCTTCCCCCTCCCCATAGCCTCAAGTCCATTCTCTAGTAAGTCTGTGTCTTTATTCCTGTTTCACCCCTAGGTTTTTCATGACATTTTTTTTCTTAAATTCCATATATATGTGTTAGCATACGGTATTTGTCTCTCTCTTTCTGACTTACTTTGCTCTGTATGACAGACTCTAGGTCTATCCACCTCATTACAAATAGCTCAATTTCGTTTCTTTTTATGGCTGAGTAATATTCCATTGTATATATGTGCCACATCTTCTTTATCCATTCATCCGATGATGGACACTTAGGTTGTTTCCATCTCCTGGCTATTGTAAATAGAGCTGCAATGAACATTTTGGTACATGACTCTTTTTGAATTATGGTTTTCTCAGGGTATATGCCCAGTAGTGGGATTGCTGGGTCATATGGTAGTTCTGTTTGTAGTTTTTTAAGGAACCTCCATACTGTTCTCCACAGTGGCTGTATCAATTTACATTCCCACCAACAGTGTAAGAGGGTTCCCTTTTCTCCACACCCTCTCCAGCATTTATTGTTTCTAGATTTTTTGATGATGGCCATTCTGACTGGTGTGAAAGGATATCTCATTGTAGTTTTGATTTGCATTTCTCTAATGATTAGTGATGTTGAGCATTCTTTCATGTGTTTGTTGGCACTCTGTATATCTTCTTTGGAGAAATGTCTATTTAGGTCTTCTGCCCATTTTTGGATTGGGTTGTTTGTTTTTTTGTTATTAAGCTGCATGAGCTGCTTATAAATTTTGGAGATTAATCCTTTGTCAGTTGCTTCATTTGCAAATATTTTCTCCCATACTGAGGGTTGTCTTTTGGTCTTCTTTATGGTTTTCTTTGCTGTGCAAAAGCTTTTAAGTTCATTAGGTCCCATTTGTTTACTTTTGTTTTTATTTCCATTTCTCTAGGAGGTGGGTCAAAAAGGACCTTGCTGTGATTTATGTCATAGAGTGTCCTGCCTATGTTTTCCTCTAAGAGTTTGATAGTTTCTGGCCTTATATTTAGGTCTTTAATCCATTTTGAGCTTATTTTTGTGTATGGTGTTAGGGAGTGATCTAATCTCATACTTTTACATGTACCTGTCCAGTTTTCCCAGCACCACTTATTGAATAGGCTGTCCTTTCTCCACTGTACATTCCTGCCTCCTTTATCAAAGGTAAGGTGACCATAGGTGCGTGGATTTATCTCTGGGCTTTCTATCCTGTTCCATTGATCTATATTTCTGTTTTTGTGCCAGTACCATACTGTCTTGATTACTGTAGCTTTGTAGTACAGTCTGAAGTCAGGAAGCCTGATTCCTCCAGCTCCGTTTTTCGTTCTC